ATCTGCTAAAAGATCTGGATCAGGGCCAACGACTGTCCCCTGAAGCAGTTGCTGCCGCACCATGGATCTAGCTCTCAGGACGGCTAAACAAACAGCCGCTGCTATCGGTCGCGTGGTCATGGAGAGGCATCTGTGGCTGAACTTGGCAGACATCAGGGAGAAAGGAAAGAATTTTCTCCTCGATGCCCCAGTCTCGCCCACTGACCTCTTTGACATATTTGTTGAGAAAGTTTTTGGAAAGTTAAGAGAGGCTAGGGCTCATTTGGCAGCATTCAGGAAATACATCCCGCGCCTGAGCAGAGGTGGAAAGTAACGAATTACATTTACTCGCGTTACGTAATTGAGTCGTTTTTTTATGTACTTCTACTTTTTTAAGTAGTTTTTAAAATCTGTACTTTTACTTTTACTTAAGTACGTTTTGTTTGAAGTTTTGTACTTCGCTACATTTTAAATCAAATCCATTACTGAGTAAAAAATAATAATACAAGGGAGAAAAAAAAAAATCACACTCCGGAAACTACTGCATTGATTGGTTGAAGGGCGGGAGAACAAACGCGCAAGAAAGATGACGCAGACCCAGCTGAGCTGAAAGCGCCCTCGAATTCTTATGAAGCGAATTATGGCCAGTATAGAAATACTTTGCAGAAAAAACGCGTGGTTGTCCTCGAGGATAGATATCCAATTTGCAAAAAATGTGGACGCAAAGTGGCTGCAAAAGGAGGATACATAGGACACCATCCCTCCTGCAGATAAAGGTATATGTCGCGATTATAACTTAAAGCCGAATGACTTACGTGATGTGGAGGGAATCCCGGAATCCAGTCATGAAAATGGAATTTACATAACGCAGATGTCACATAAAACACGCAAAATAATGGATGGATGAATACATGGAAAGTAGAACTGTGCAATAAATCCAGTCGCTACATGGTTTGTGAATATTTAAGCACAAAAATACTGCTATGTAAACATATAGCCTATTTGTTCTGCTGAGCTGCGCCGCTTTGTCTACTACATACTCAAGTACGCGTGACGTTCATGGTGTTTTCAGCGTCTCACAAGCAATTTGAGGACATGAATACATGAACATTTCCAGAGCTGCTCTGAGAGAACGCCTAATGAGCATTTTCATAATTTTATTTGAGAAAAACCATTGTCAAATACACTTTGAAACGGGTCTTCACTACAACCTGTCAAAATAAAAGTTCGGTTTTACTAAGGAGAAATTCTGACAGAAATATATTACTATTGTAGGCATACAATAGAACATACTTCTCAAAATAATAATAACAACAATAATACATTTTATTTAAACATTATTTAACGGAATATATTTTTTTGTCCATGGTTTAATTTCATAAAAAGAAACATTTATTTTCTGAATAAAATACATTTCATAGGACTATATTATTCTTAAACATTTTAATAAATTATTAATGTTAAAAATAAGTTGTTAATCTAATTCATTATCAATTATTGAATTTAATTGATTAGACATGTTTTATTGAAATTAATAAACAAAACAAACAAATGGTTTCAAGCTTGTTATAGTAAAAGCATTTGTTCAACCAAAAAAAAAAAACCCTGTTTTCATTCATTTAACTGTCATTTTAACTAATTATAATAACCAAAATTTAATAATACCGTTTATTTATTTAATAATTGATTAATACTGTAAACCGTGATATTTTCTGAGACGTTATCATACTGTGAAAATCTCATACCATTACAACCCTACACGGGAGAGTCCCCCACCCGTTGTTAAAAAAGTAACTCAGTAACTTTTACTCTGAGTGAGTTTTAAATGAGCTACTTTTTACTTTTACTTGAGTAGATTTTTAGACCGGTACTTTTACTTGTACTTAAGTAAAATTTCATTGAAGTAGTAGTACTTTTACTTGAGTAGAATATTTTATTACTCTTTCCACCTCTGCACCTGAGGACTGGAGGCAGGGCCTGAGGGAGAGCGCACAGGAGGAGAAACGCGAATAAGAAAAGACAAGATCTCAGGGAAGTGATTGCTGATGATAAATAACATATTTCCTCCTTCTTCTATCTAGAAGTTAGCTGGTAGCCTGATATAACAATATGGAAAATGAGCTCCTGACTCAGGTAAACTCTGCCTTTGTTTATGGCCACTCCTCAAGCCCCGGTTGGCCCGCTTTAGACCAAGGTATTAGGCAGGCCAAAAAACCCTGGCCGTTTGCCCAGAGGAAGCCTGGACGAGGCTCGATCAAGCCCCGATAGTGACAGTGGAAACGCAAGTGGCCCTGGCACGCACTAGCACACCCGCTTTTGGCCGGCAGTGGAAACACGGCTATTGAGAGGGTAAGCACTCTCTTTCCTTCCCCAGATACATTGGGTGTTTAAGTAAGGGAATAGTACAGGTGTTGGAACCTGGGTATAGAGAAGCTGAATACAATCCGGGCGCTTGTGGCTCTTGTCTTCTACTAATCTTATTAACGGGTTCCCACAACATGAATTACGGCTCCCTATGGTGGCCGCCTACACATTCTGATAGGGTAGAGAAGATGAAGCATGTTGATACAGTATATATACTCTGTTCATCGTCCCCTCTCAAGCTAAAGGCTCAGTGCTCCCCTATGGTGGCAGAATTAATGGTTTCCCCTTGGATTGAGTATACTGAACAAATTGGTCCTTTCTAAACATAGTTGAGTTCGCTCCCCTTTTTGATTTCTCTCTTCAGGTAAATGCAAAAGGAAACTAAATTATGATCATAGCCATGTATTCCTGCTATTTAGTTTGCTTCCCCTCCCCAACTACTGCGATTGGTTTCTAAGTAGGGGTTTGCTTCCCTGAAAAGTGTGTTATTAAATGCCTGACTGACCTGTTTATCTCTCATGTGAGTTGACAACACTAATGAGTTGAGGAAGTTCACCTAGGGGCCGTCCCTCATTGTTATCTGTCACTCACTGTGGTCCAGCGCTTTAAGAAAGAATAAGAGCCGTAGCAGGCGTTATATCTCTAGCAAGCCATTTTCTTCTAATTCGGCAATGCTAATGAGTTCAGAAAGTTCGCCTAAGGAGTACCCTCCTCGTTACCTGTCTCGTACTACAGTAAGTGCAAAAAAAAAGAAAAGAAAAGAAAAGAAAAAAGAATAATGCAAACCTTTTTAGGTCTTAGAAAATGATTTTACATAGAGCAGAGTTTGATTTGCCTCCCCAGATTTCAAGGGTCTTAAAGTAAGGCTGGACTCCACTGTGGCTCTCGGGGTTGAGCCTCTCTCCCCTTTGGAGAAGCAGCACTATCAGAGAGGTAAAAAAAAAAAAGACAGCATGGCTCCCTTAGGTAAGCTGCTCTTTGAGCCCTAGGATTGAGTGAGGTGTCCCTCCCCATCTACTTTGGGTATTTAAGTAGGGTCCCTTGCCCTCCTTTATCTCAGTTATCCAGATTAGCGAGTAGAGGTTTTGTATTTTGCCATTCTTGTGCCACAGCCTACAACAGTATATGAAAATTAAGGTACATTTTCCTCAGAAGTAGGTGTATTGCCTAGGTTGATAGTGGAATATTGGGAAAAAAAGAAAAGAAAAAAATCCTTGTGGCGGGGCATTTCCTAAGAGCTGTCTCAGATGAGAAACGGCTGTCACAACCTGGCAAATTCTTTCCGTAGAGCTCTGCCTTTGGGGATACAGTAGCCCGCTGGGGACGGAGGAAGTTTCCAGGGACTTCCCCTAGTATAGAGGCATAGCAGCTAAGGGATCTTCAATTTTTTTGGAAGATAATGGCTTAGGGAACGCTATGACTAGACAGTCTCTGTACATACTTGCCCCGGATGGACGGTTGAGTCAATGTATGCTATGCCCACTGAAATATTTTCACCTAGTGAGGAAAGCATCCCTGCGGTATGGCAGAGTGGGTATTTGTTCCCGATAGCGTCCATCCAAGACGCAGTGTCTCGTTTCCCTTCTCGAACCACAGTGACAGTCATAATCATCTGAGACGTTCATCAGAGGTAATAACTAATCAACCAGTTATCACTGCATCGACAAAAATTAAGAATGATAATGTAAACATGTTGCATCTGTTAATTCACTTGCTTGTGATTATGGATGGTTTTAACGTTTCCAATGTGGCGGATATGTTGATGTACTTTTGCTAACGAACTGCAATCTAGGTATTTAATATCTACAATATGACCCCAAAAAGACTTAGAACACAAGTACCATTTATATTTTAGTTCAATAGCAGGACATGTACAGGTCATTCTACATTTCCTCTGAGGGCTTCAGGATCATCTGCTCAATACAAAGCCAGAATAGTGATGCATTTACATTAATTACCCCATTGTTCAGAGGCAAAGTACTCATGAGTTTTTTTTAAATAAATATATTCATCAATGACTCTTTTATTTGCATTTATCTTTGTCCTTAAATCATGTGAACCAGGATTCACATGACTTACTGTACATTTACCTAAAGTCTTTAGCTAAGTCTTTGTGAGATTCTAAAGTTTGGTAAACATTTACACACACACGCACTCATATGCACACACACACACACACACACACACACACACACACACACACACACACACACACACACACACACACACACACACACACACACACACACACACACACACACACACACACACACACACACACATAAACATATGAATTATTAATTAGTGGGAATATGCATGTTAACATGATTTTAGTGGGCAAGAAATGTTTACCAATCTTTCTGTGTAATGTTAAGCTTGTAATACTGTATGTGCTTTTTAAAATCAACATCTGTGTATTAAAATCCTCCCAAAATTCTCCATGTATACTGTATATCTTACCTTAAACTCTATTTTTTTTACATTATAACATTATCCCAAATGATTTCCGATTGAGTTTAACTTGTACTGAACCTGGAACATCCTTTTAACCTAACCTAAACTTGACTCATTTGAAATCTTCATTTCCAAAAGTACAGTATCTCCTATATAGACCTGGTGCATATTTCTACAGTAAAGTAGAAGACTGTGGAGTGTACCGGTGATGAAGGCCTCCAGCATGAGTCCCAGCAGCATCTGCAGGGCGAGCAGCGCTATGGCGGTTGGACAGTCAGCGTTGGGGTACATGGTGCCGTACCCGATGGTCAGCTGCGTCTCGAGAGCAAAAGAGAAGGCGGCGGAGAAGCCCGTCACGTGTTTGACGCACAGCACGTGTCCGGGCGGTGGGGTGTCGTGGTTGGGCACATCCAGGTCCCCGTTGACACGGGCGAGCAGGTACCACAACACCGCAAACAGCAGCCAGTGAAGCAGGAAGGAGCCGCAGAACGCCAGCACCACCCATCGCCACCGCAGCGCCAGCCACGTCCCCCACATGTCCCGCAGGGCGCCCAACCATGTCTCCCTGTAGCCTGGGGCACTGCCTTGCATCAGGCTCCGCCCGCCCTTGTTGACCAGACGCTGGCGATGAGGTTTGGCCATCAGGGGGCAGGAGACGGCCTTTTGGTCACTGGTGGTGCTTGTCATGGTGACAGAAGCGGCTGGCAACTGGAAAGATGAGCAAAGAGCACCAGATATCAGCTGCACATTTCTACACATTTACATATGAAAATCTGATGTTCTTCAGGGAATAGTTCAACCTCCAAAAAATTCAAATTCTGTCTGTAAAAATTAATTCCAAACCTGTATGCTTACCTGTTATTTAGTTCTGTGAAACAAAAAGGAGATATTTTGAAGCATTTAAACCAGGTCGGCTGTTGGGCTCCATATGTGTTTGCGAGGAACAGACTTAATTTGAAGCTGTTTTTCCACTGATAATCATTAATTTTCTATTAAAGCTCTAAAATTTCTTTTGCAGATTAAAAATTTGTGCCAGATTTGATGCAATTAATAAAAACTGTGTTGTTTCTCAACCAACTATTTCTAATGTACGAAATTAAGATTAATGGGAGATTTTTAATATCAACCTAAATTTCTTTCTGTTCCAGTGTTGCTATTGCTAACTAAAAGTGTTCATCTTCATTTTTGGTATGTGGCAATAGGCTAAAATAAATTGAAATATAAATATTAGATGGAAAAACTTAAATTTGAAAACTTAAATTAAAAAAAATTAAATGAAAATTAGAAATGTTGCCCTAAGTCTAACTAAAACAAGTTGAAGTTGAAGTACTAAAATTACTTAAACTGAAATAAAAATGAATTAAAGCTTATGAAATAATTATACATATAATATAATTTTATATTATATATCTTATAATATAAAAAACTAATAAAATTGACAAAAGCACATTAACTATTTACTAATGTTTACTGATGTAAACTGTTTTAAACTAATTAAATGTTTTAAAATTAAAATAAGAACTGAACATATAAAAAAATAAAAGCAAAATATTAATAATTACTATAATAGTATATAAATAATATTGAAATAACACTATTCTGTTAGTTTTAAGCTAATGGATTACGTCAAGAAACATATATATAGTGCATAAGTTGTGAATGTTCAATACCATAGCTACTTTTATGGTGTATTTATTATTGTTATTATTATTTTACACTTTTTTGGCCTTGACAGCTGTCTCAATAAAAAAATTTAAAAAGAGTTTCCTTTTGGGTTTGGAACTACATGAGGCATGATAATGACAGATTTTCGGGTGAACTATTCCTTTAACATTTCAATAAAAAAATCTGCCATTTCAACTGCCAGGTGATTTAATTGGTGATGTTTCTCAGTGGGGTGTGTGTGTGGAAGGGACAGCAGGAATGTGTGTTTAATCCACTCTTTTTTTTCTCGCTGTCTCTCTCTCTCTACCAGAAGACTGCAAGTAATTAGTCTGATACTAAAAAGCAAAGCACTGAAATAATAATAAAAAATAAAAAAAGAACTTCAGTAGCACAATGTTTTTTCATTGTGTCACATTAATTAATGGTGTTAGATTGTGTGCTAGAGAACCTGATGAAGAATAGGGTTTCAGTCCCTTTGTGTCTGTAAATATTATGCCGGCACACGAAATGTAAGTGCCTGAGTGTGTTTGGATGCCAGAGCTTGTGGTTAAACTGTAAAGAAGAAGAGAGTGTCACATTTTAATTGAACAAATGTTAACTTGCCCTCCGGGTTCTCCGATGAGGAGAGGGAATGTTCCACCTCAGGATGTTTCCTTAAATGAGGGAAAATGACCTTGGTTTGCTTTAAATCTTTTCAAATGCTAGCATTTTGACAACTTGCTAATAAATCTTATAGCCTGACCTGACCATGGTCATATATACATATATTTACTAGGAAGATATATATATATATATTGGGTCAGTAAGATTTTTATTTAGAGAAATTAATATTATTCTGCAAGGATGCATGCACATGGATAGTAAATACATTTATAATAATAGAAAAGAATAGTTATTTTGCTAAAGAATCATGAAAACAACTTATCATGGTTTCCCAAAAAATAATAAAAAAATTAAGCAGCACTGCTGTTTTTAACATTGATAATAATCATACATTTTTCTTGAGCAGCAAATCATCATCAGATTTCTGAAGGGTCATGTGACACTGCAGACTGGAATAATGATGCTGAAAATTCATGCATCACAGGAATAAATGACATTTTAAATTATATTAAAAAGGAAAACTATAAATTGTAATAATTTTTCACAATATCAAATTGATGCAGCTTTGGTAAACATAAAAATTTCTTTCATAACATTTAAAAAAACTTATTGATAGAAAGTTTTGAAATAAATTATAAGTAAAATTGTGTGTGTCTGTCTATATATATATATATATATATATATATATATATATAATATTTATATTTTATTTATCATCATTTATACACTGCATATATATATAGATATAAACTTTATTTATATTTTATTTATTACCATTTATATACTGTATAAAAAATGCTGGGTTGTTTCAACCCAAATTTGGGTCAAATATGGACAAACCCAAATGTTGGGTTAAAAATTTAATTAAAAAATTTACAGTTGAAAGTGAAAGTTGAAGTTGGGTTAAAATTTTAAATTACATTTTTAACCCAACATTTGGGTTTGTCCATATTTGACCCAAATTTGGGTTGAAACAACCCAGCATTTTTTTTATATATATATACATATTATTTGCTTTATCACAGTTAATGTCTATGAGAAATAGGGATGCATTTGATTATAAACATTATTAGATTGACAAAATGCTTATTACTACTTTTTCGTACTTTAATTGAAGGTTCTAGTTGTCACATTGTGTTTGCAGGCAGGCAGACAGAAAAAGATAGATGAATAAAGTTCTCAACAAAGTTTCGGGTATACTCAAAAACAGGTGAACATGGCATTAGCAAACACCAACTAAAAGTGATCATGACCAGACAAATAGTGAAGACAGGGGTACAACTATATAGTGAACTAAACAAAGCATTAATAGAACACAGCTTGAATAATTAAACCAATAATGACGTGACCATGGTAATTAAAGAGTGGCGGGAAATCAAACAAAGCAAGGCATGAACTGAAGAAATACAAAGTAAAAGTCCTTGAACTGAATTAAACTGAACATACTGGTGGTGACACTAGTGCATTCTGGATCAGTTCATCCAATGTAACCGCGGGTCCCTCTCCATGAAGTACACTTTTGATTAGACAAGGCCATGAATATTACGTCATGACCTAAACTTCATGAGAAAATTCATCACATGATGAATCACGGTAGACTGTGAGGTACGTCTTGTAGCTTAGTGCGTGTTTGCGGCGCATGTTCTTCATGTGATCGCGTCTGGCCACGGGGCGATAAAACACATCTCTCTTTATGTATTGTGTTCCACAGATTATATGTGTTACTTACTTAACTCCATATGTATTAATGCCATTCACTTACACAAACACTTTGCTGATGTAAAATGAGTCATTGCCACTTAACCATATTGTTTTATTAATCATAATCCTTTATTTTAATGCAAATATGCGAATGCTTGTCTTCACTAGATTTCATTAGTTTATGAATGATGGGCTTTCAGTTGACAGTGTGACGCTGGTCAAATCTACAGACTGGACTGAGTTAGTGTGAAAAATTGCTTTTTATAAGCATGCATATAAATGTTCTTTCGTATTTTTTCTTTTACACCAAAATACAGGATACCATGTGATTTTACATCATGATACATATTAGCAAACAGGGCTTTTTACACATATTTATGTCAGGATACTTCTGTTGCTGTGATGTCTATAGGTTAAACATTTACAAATTACTTAAATTTGATTTGTAAAAACTAAATACATCTAGTTTGATTGAAATCTAACTAAGTACATCATTTTCTTTGTATTTCAGGATTGGTTTTCAAGCAGTTCTTTATTTTCTTTGATTCCCCCCTTTCATCAATCATATCTTTGATTGACATCTCTCCGGGCTCTGCAATTATTAAGCTATACCTCAATGACACCTCACCTTGTGAATGGTTACTTCAACACATGGGAAACAATAGCAAAACAATGAGTAGCTGATTCCAGGATATAAGATTAACCTGGACCTTTGCTTGTGTGTGTGTGTGTGTGTGTGTGTGTGTGTTTGCGTGTGTGTGTACGGTGCAACTATCTTTGTGAGAACCAGTTTGAGATTTAGACCATTGAATTGAGGACACAGAGAGTAGAGTGAGAATTTAGTAAAGTGTTTAAGGGTCAAGACTTGGTTTTAGGGATAAGGTTATAATCAGGTTAAGGGTACAGTATAGGTTTAAGGTATGGGTTCGGGTTAGGCATTTAGGCTACGTTCACACTGTCACTCCAAATCCGAGTTTATATCCGATTGGAATCGGATCTAAAATTATTGACTGTCCACACTGTGTATCGCAACTGTGTTTTCTGTAAAATCTGCATTGGTTTCAATGGCAATTGGTAGGTATACGCCAAAAACAACAACAACAACCACAACATGGAGGGGTTTGCAAAACAGATGTTTCCTTATTTACAACATGACAATGTGTAGCCACTGCGCTGGACTACTATGTCCTCTGAGGCAGCGGCAGAACCGGCTTTAGTCCGTGTTGACGTCTCCGCCGGTTTGCAAAACATGTTGTCATTTTCTGCTCGTCCGGCACTTTGCAAACACAACCTTCTTTTTGCAGCGACTTTCAGCATGTTTCCCAAAACAACGTCTGACGCTCGAAACAGATTTGTAAAAATCTCATTTCATGTGATTTTTTGCCGTTCACACTTGCTAAATCTGATCGGATTTCAATCGGATATCCACAAAAAAAAGGATTTGGACTGACGGTCTGAACGTAGCCTTAGTTGTGATGGGTAGGGTTAGGAAAAGGAGCTAGAGATTGCATTGTGTCAATGAATGTCCTCACAAAAGATAGATGTACAATAATGTGTGTGTGTGAGATTGATATGGTTGGCTTTGCTGCCAGTTACTGTAAGCACTGTAACTGCTGAACTTTAGCACATGTTGTGCATGGTTTACTTATGTGAACTTCAAGATGAATTAGAATGGAAACAATGTGTTTTGTTTTGGTGACTTTAGTTACGAGTTTAACCAAAGATTTGGTCTGATTAAAACTGAGTGACTCTCCACTGCACACAGTTCAATGTGTCAGAGTGCAAATGAGTCTGGTGTGCTCATGGGTAAATGATTATTTCAAGTGTTCGGTGTGTGTGTGTGTGTGTGTGTGTGTGTGATGAGAGTCAGGAAAGAGGGAGAAGAGAATAGAGAGAGATTTGGATATTTTAAGAACATTTACCCTAAAAATCTACCTTGGAAATGCAAAAATTAATTTAAGAATCTCTGCCATCTTTTTCTATGTAAAAAAGGGGCCTGGTTCACGGACAAAAAGCACCTTAAAATTATTATAAATTCTACTAAAATGGTCCATTTGACTCATATGAAAGCTTTGTGTGAGGGATATAGTAAAAAAAAAAAAAGGAAGGGAAGACATACATTTTAGTCTTTATACAGTGCAAGAGTCATATTGGCTACTTTTACTATTTTTGTCATTTTGGATCTTGTCGGACCCACTTCCTCATTGCCTTTCATTGGCCTGGATATATTTTTAAAAAATCATCTTTTGTATTCCATGGAATAAGAAAAGTCATATTGTAATGACATGATGGTTAGTAAATGATAACAATTTTTGTTTTGGGTGAACTATTCCTTTAAGACACAAAAACATAGATGACCCAAAATGCATCCTTGATGAATAAACAATGATTCACTAATACATGCAAACACAAACACTGCCCTGTGCTGATCCGGATGCTGATTTGCTTTCAATAGAGAGTTTGTCTTCTGAGACTGTCATTGGTCATGGTCGCCCAAGGAAAAATATCTTCTTTTTTTCTTTTCTTGCTATAAATCTTATCTAATAATCTCTCTCACAGAGCATAAAATATCCCGTTTTACTCACCAAATTTCTCTCTTTGGGGTTTATTAAGGACTCCTCAGAGTTTTCAGACGAAGTGTGAAATCTTCTGAGAAGTTCAAGCGGGATCTAGATTGTGAGGAACCGTAGATCCTCGGCCAGGGTGTAAAACCAATCCGGATACTTCTGTAGGAGACACCAAAGAGTCAGATGCACTGAGGAACTCCAACAAACACACACATTCAATGAAGAGAGCCGGCCCTGAAACTCATTGGTCACATTACTCAGCATGTGGCCAATTAGGAGAGCTTTAGAGAGGAGGAGAACACCTAGAGTCTCTCTCTCTCTCTGTGTGTGTGTGTATGTGTGTGTGTGTGTGTGTGTGTGTGTGTGTGTGTGTGTGTGTGTGTGTGTGTGTGTGTGTGTGTGTGTGTGTGTGTTGATGAAAGGAACAGAACAGTAGCTTTTCCTTCTCACCCATCTTTCTGAAGCTGCTTTGACTGCTAAACTTCTTGCAACAACCGTTTCTCTTTCGACTGAAGCGCAAAAACAGATTTTGTCCTGTTTTTGTTGGTCAGTGTGAATGTTTCTGCCTGAGTGCTTGTGTTAATGCTTACGTAATATCTCTCATTTACAGGAAAGGGTCACCGCATTGCTGATAATAGTTTTTGAGATCACATTTAATTAAGTTCTTGGTTATGTTTCATATGAGACATTTGTGAGATTACTGGGATCTTTTTCCTCAGGAGTGAATTGAAATGTAAGAAGCACCAAAGTCTCCATTTAATCTCAGTGCCGTTTTGGAGAAACTTTGAGATTAAAGATATCTCATTTGGGGTTTTACTTTCCAGTGGGCAATGCCACACTTGTAAAAGGTATCACTTGTGTAACCATATACTGTTAGGATTGTGCTTTGCACAGCACTAAAATGCTAATAAATGTTATTTCTAGTAATGATGAGAGGCTAATTGACAAATTTGCGAAGGAAAATAGCTGCTTGTGGAAAACTTTTGCATTGTAACAGGTCCAGCTTAACAGAATGAGAGCTCCACATAAAATAATGCATTGAAATATCAACAAATAAAAATGCTTATATGGTGATTTATGAACAGCTTCCTCAGGCAGGCTCATCATTTTCTGTGACATGGCATTTGAATACAGAATGGTTGCATCACACAGCTGATGGTCTCAGTTCATTTCAATGATAAGAAATCTAAATAATAGATAACAGCTAACGGCTAGCTAGATTCTGTAGTTAGCTAAAGAGCAAGCGGTGTTGTTAATTTAGTAATGCCTTGCAGGCGAACATAGCATTACATATTTATATATGAATAACTTGTGTGTTCATTTATTTGTTGGATTGTCATTCTTTCCCCAATTCTCCCCAAAATTGCTGTCATTTACTCACCTCATGTCGTTCCAAACTTGCATTACTTTCTTTTTTCTTAGAACATCACAGGAACAGAAGATCGTCTTCCATGAAAGCATCGGCCATACAAAAGACATATGTGTGAGTAAAAGATATTAACCTATTTAGTATAAAACAAAATTATTGCATACTTTATCTTGTTCAAGAGTTCACATAGCACATTTGCTCCTCGAGCATCAATGAGCGTTCGCAGTCTTTGTGAAAGTTGTGCAGTCTCTCAATTGTCCTGAGGCAAAGCTGGGCCTCAACATCATTGAGAACTGTGGGCAGAACTCAGACGTGCAGCGCATGCAAGGCACTAAAAAGTTACATGACCTGAATGTTTTTTCATCAACAGCGCTAAATTACGAACGTTACTGCTCATTCAGTCAGAAGATGTCTGAAGGATTTTGGGATATTTGATCTTCAGCTAAGTCAGAGCAGAGGAGTCACATTTGGTAGATATGGGAGCTCAGGGAGGAATTACAAGTTAGACATTTTGTTCTCTGTTAAGGAATTAATAATAATAATAATACAATATCAGTATGTTGGCTTTTTTTCATTACAATTAAGCTTATTCTACATCCATCTTTTAAAAATTTGACTTATTTTATTACAGTAATGAATGACTAATAGTTGACTAATGAAAATCATAATTGAGAATAATCGTGATCACTGAGCACATTTACACCAATACGCTGATTGTTACGGGTGTGGTGCAGGCAGATGAAGAGGCAGCAGTCAACCGGTCCAATTCAAATATACTTTACTCAATATAACATAACAAGGATCACGGGAGACAGCAACACACCATACACAAACGAGAACCGACCAGGAGTGAGGGAGAACACAGGGTTTACATACACAGAGAACAGATAGGGGAACAAGACACAGCTGGGGCAAATGAACTAGACACAGGTGAAGGAACTGAGAACTAACGAGGAGCGGGAAAACTGAGACACAGGAATAAACCAAATACACAATGACGGGGAGAAACTCAGGACACACATGTAACATAACGCCCCCTCCAAAAAGGCGCGTCCTCGCGCCGTATAACTTCAATAGGGGTGGGGGGGGGCGGGCGCCCTGGAGGCTGATGAGGGCGTGGCCTACCCTGAGCAGGAAGCCTCCAGGGCGGAGCAGGCTGGTCAGGGGGCCATGGCGGAGTAGGAGACCACCCCTCGGGCGGTCCTGGCGGAGAATCCCCTTCGGGCGGCCATGGCGGAGAATCCCCTTCGGGCGGCCATGGCGGAGAAGCACCTTCGGGCGGCCATGGCGGAGAAGCACCTTCGGGCGGCCATGGCGGAGAAGCACCTTCGGGCGGCCATGCCGGAGAAGCACCTTCGGGCGGCCATGCCGGAGAAGCACCTTCGGGCGGCCATGCCGGAGAAGCACCTTCGGGCGGCCATGGCGGAGAAGCACCTTCGGGCGGCCATGGCGGAGACGCATCTTCGGGCGGCCATGGCGGAGACGCACCTTCGGGCGGCCATGGCGGAGACGCACCTTCGGGCGGCCATGGCGGAGACGCACCTTCGGGCGGCCATGGCGGAGACGCACCTTCAGGTGGCCTATATCCCCCCCCCAAAACTTTCTTGGGGGGAATCACAGGCTCTGGGACAGGCTCTGGGACGTGGACAGTCTCTGGGTGGGCAGACGGGACGTGGAAAGTACTCTGGCTGGGCTAGCGGTGAAGGCCCGGCTATGCTGGATGGAACCAGCGGTGAAGGCTCAGAAGGGCTGGACGGGACCAGCGGAGAAGGCTCTGAAGGGCTGGACGGGACCAGCGGAGAAGGCTCTGAAGGGCTGGACGGGACCAGCGGAGAAGGCTCTGAAGGGCTGGACGGGACCAGCGGAGAAGGCTCTGAAGGGCTGGACGGGACCAGCGGAGAAGGCACTGAAGGGCTGGACTGAACCAGCGGTGAGGGCTCGGCTGGGCTGGACGGAACCAGCGGTGAGGGCTCGGCTGGGCTGGACTGAACCAGCAGTGAGGGCTCGGCTGGGCTGGACGGAACCAGCGTGAGGGCTCGGCTGGGCTGGACGGAACCAGCGGCGAAGGGGGCTTTGTGCTGGACGGAACCAGCGGCAAAGAGGGCTTGGTGCTTGACGGGACCAGCGGCGAAGGATCAGCGGGCTTAGCTGGATCCTGGGTGAGGATGGACGACGTGGCGAAGATGGCTGGAGCCATCATTGGAGTGACGGTAAAGCGGAGAACTCTCTCAAACAGGATCCTGATGAGGTAGTCAGTCAGGTCATGGCCAGCCAAGTCCATCTTTGTTTAGGCCGATTCTTCTGTTACGGGTGTGGTGCAGGCAGATGAAGAGGCAGCAGTCAACAGGTCCAATTCAAATATACTTTACTCAATATCACATAACAAGGATCACGGGAGACAGCAACACACCATACACAAACGAGAACCGACCAGGAGTGAGGGAGAACACAGGGTTTACATACACAGAGAACAGATAGGGGAACAAGACACAGCTGGGGCAAATGAACTAGACACAGGTGAAGGAACTGAGAGCTAACGAGGAGCGGGAAAACTGAGACACAGGAATAAACCAAATACACAATGACGGGGGGAAACTCAGGACACACATGTAACACTGATAACTACCAAAAATCCGTTTTTATAACCAGTTTACGTGCAAATCAATAACCTGGCAATGCAAGTAAACCGTTTTTTCAAGACTGTATTTAAAAAAACGCCCGATGCGGTGGTGACATTCAATACGTAAGCATAAATAAATAAAGCGTTAAAATTTCAGCGGCAAACTTCCCCAGACTCATTCTCCTCTCAAATTTGAAGTTTCTACAACTGTAGGGTAACATGAGGTAAGGATTTTTTTCTCCTGACCATAGATGGCACAAAATCTCATCTCAGCACTTGATGATTGGCTACACAATTTTAAATTTTGTAATTTCATCTGAATATTAATATTTGTGAGATTTAAAAGTTCATAAACTACTGGTGGCGATTGAGGAGAGATCCCCTGACATGATTGTAAAACGCTATGGGTGTACCGTACTACATAGCACTATATAAATACCTCCATTGATTGATTCATTTATTTATTTATTCATTAATTCATAAAAAGTAACACGAGAAAGAACCTCATTGGTTCTAGCAGAAGCTCAAACATACTGCGTAACACGAGAATGAACCACATTGGTTCTTGCGAAAGCTCAAACATGCTGCGTAACACGAGAATGAACCTCATTGGTTCTTGCGAAAGCTCAAACGTTCTGCGTAACACGAGAATGAACCTCATTGGTTCTAGTGGAAGCTCAAACATACTGCGTAACATGAGAATGAACCTCATTGGTTCTTGCGAAAGCTCAAACATGCTGCGTAACACGAGAATGAACCTCATTGGTTCTAGTGGAAGCTCAAACATACTGCGTAACACGAGAATGAATGCCATTGGTTCTAGTGGAAGCTCAAACATACTGCGTAACACGAGAATGAACCCCATTGGTTCTAGTGGAAGCTTAAACATACTGCGTAACACGAGAATGAACCTAATTGGTTCTAGTGGAAGCTCAAACATACTGCGTCACACGAGAATGAACCTCATTGGTTCTTGCGAGAGCTCAAACATAATGCGTAACACGAGAATGAAACTCATTGGTTCTAGTGGAAGCTCAAACATACTGCGTAACACGAGAATGAACCCCATTGGTCCTAGTGGAAGCTCAAACATACTGCGTAACACGAGAATGAACCCCATTGGTTCTAGTGGAAGCTCAGACATACTGCGTAACACGAGAATGAACCTCATTGGTTCTAGTGGAAGCTCAAACATACTGCGTCACACGAGAATGAACCTCATTGGTTCTTGCGAAAGCTCAAACATAATGCGTAACATGAGAA